TCCAAAACTTTCCTGGATCTTTTTCAGTTTCATCCCATAGACCAATTTTCCTGCACTTGTTAGTTAATTCTATATTGGAATAAATGTATGAGGCACAAATTAATAAATGAAATTATTGTGGAGAAAACAGTATAGGTTTGAAATGTTTGAATGCAGTCATGGTACTTACCCTGCTCTTCTCCTCCCTTAATATCTCTAACCAATCCTGCAATCACTTCAGCTGGTCCATATAATAATGCGAACAATCCATCCTTTTGAGTAAGCATTTCTAAAGTTAAGGAAAGGAAGTCACAACCAGCAACTCTATTCCTTTTAATTATATCGATGTCTTCATCATAAAGAAATAGCTCATCTTTTTTAGATTCCAGAAAATTAATAACCCACACCGGGCTCCATTTCTTAACCTCTTCGACAGATGGAAAAGGATTATTAGACATGATAATTTGTTTTGCTTGAATCAAAATAATATGTGCAGGTCAGAAAATTTTTTTAGTATGAAATGGTCGTAAATACACTTTTTTTTATAGTTTATATCAGAAATTCTAAAAATAATTTTTATTGCACAGCCCCATTGATGTCACATGACATATTAATTATCTGATTGATTATGTAGAAATTTAATTAACACCTACTCAAACCCTGTAACACTGCTTTTTTCCTTACTTGGGATAGATTGTATGATTTTGTTTGATCTACTATATATTTTTTTTTGTCTATATTTGTAAATGTTGTATGTGAAGTTGAAATTATGTGAAATTGAAATATTATGGAGTGTGGTGAAATTCTGATTGGCTAATTTGAATTTCACACATGTAAATTTGAATTTCACATATGCATAATTTCATTTTCACGTACAACATAAATAAACAGTGGTACGGGAAATAAGATGTTGTAGAAGAGTACTCATTATACATGAGCAAATGAATGAACAAATGATCAATTGATCAATTGAACAGATTGAGTGAGCATTGAGCTGATAAAAAAATCAATTTTTACTAAACACAATTTTTTGGGAAGCATGAGATGAAAAAAAATGAGATGTTTCTTTTTATTTATTTTATTAATTTATATATTATTTATTACTAATTATTTTCACTATTTGTTCATCTGATGTTAAAAAAATTGATCTTTCCTTACCTTTTTGGTTTTATTTTTTTATTTTTTTTTATCTACCACATCCATCTATTGGAGAGGTTTCTTTTCTTTTGTTTGCTGCAGTTTAACCTTTGATCAACTAACTCCAGAAATAATCAATAACCGAATGAGTGTGATAATAACTAAAAATAATGTACATAATAATAATAAAAAATAATAATAAATAATAAAATTGTTTGTTTATGTAGCAAACAAAGTAGTCTATCTATATATGGTGCACCAACTCTTAACCCGACAATCACGTGACATGTTTCAATTTTCATTATGCAGTGTAACATAAAAT